GTATATATGTATATATATATATATATATATATATATAACTTATTTGAGATTCATTCCTACTATGCATACATTTAGCCAGACCTGACTATTGTTTTAGTCTGTTTTTATATTTTAAGTGGCATACCTCACAATCTCTGCCATGTTTCACTTTGACATCAGCTCCACTTTTCAGTCAATGACGTACAGAATGATAGGAAACAGTTTGGACTCATTTTGAATTTAGTGACATGTAGCAATCCATGTTGCAAGATTCCAGTTTTATTTGCCTAAATAAGTTCTAATTTACTAAAAGCACATTTTATTTCACAACCACTCAATTTTAATCATAACTTACATTACCTGTGGAGTGCAGCAACATAAGCTAAAGAACCAGTTTACCTCAGCAAACACAGTCAGGCTAATGAGCCATATGATGAGACATTTTCCTTGCCTTGCCTACCTGTGAATCATTAAAATAACAACAACATTTTCCAAACCCCCAGTCATGGGTTCATTATACAATTTGTTGGTCTGAAGGACAGTTACGAAATGAAGAGTAAAGAGCAGTGGAAATGTGGAAATTATATTAAACAAAATCCAAATGTTTGGATGTCCCTTTGAGATTTGCTAGTTCAGGGAGAATATGACTGCAGTGAAATCTTGCATAAAAGCCAAGTCTGACTATGCAACTGTCTGTCATGTCAGACTATACAAGAAACATCTTCTTTATAAGATATTATAATATTAAAACATAATTTTAACATCTTTCTCACTTAAACACATATACCTAAATCATTAATTGTATTGCTTCGATTGGTTCTTCATTAGATGGTCATTGTAGTAGCACTTCAGATCAGGTCAAGACATTTCAAACAAAATAACTATTTTTGTGAAACATTTATGATGTGTTAATTTATAATAATATGTATATCTGTAGTAAATGTGGAAAATCATTTGAACAGTGAAACATTTTCAGGTAAATGCCACTTATGTTTACAGGTGTATAGATTTTCTTTTTATTTATTAATTTTTTTTTTAATAATACATTTATTCAGCATTAAATTGATCAGAAGTGACTGGACAAATTACAACAAAAAAAAAATCTGTTTCAAATAAATGCTGCTAAATTATATTCATCCAAGAATCCTGAGAAATATATTATGGTTTAAACAAAAAATATTAAGCAGCAAAACTTCTCAATGATTCAGGGGCATTTCCTCCGAGGAGGCAAGGGAGGCTGTGCCTCCTCAAATCCACCTCTTGTGTTCGTGCAAGTTCGCGAATCAGTCTGAATGAACAATATCATGACGTTAATGGGAAGACGAATTTTAAAAAATAAGTAAACAACTCACACACCTAGATATAACCACTTTAAACAAAACCTAAATTCATCCACCACTTTTATCGGGCAAGTGTGTTCATGTAGAGATTTTCAAGGGCCAGTGTGAATAAATCTAGATTTAAATGCAAAGAGACAAGATAGTCTTTAAATGACTACGTTTTATTCATGTCCAGAATGAGGAGATGTGAACATTACAGAGCGCTAAATAATCTCATGCAGTGTATGCTTCATTCATACTTGAATGAGTGTGATTTATTGCGCAGAAAGTCCAAAACGGCCACATAGAAGTAATAAGAGAGGTTGTCTTACTATTGGGAGATACGAGGGTCTGTATTACTTACTACTGAAGAAGGCATAACGGTCAACTTGGATCACGTGTGCCTTAATAACCAATCACATTACAGCCTTGACATCACTGAATTTCAATCAGAGTTGTGCGACACTCAATCGCCGTTTACGGATACCATAGGAATGAATGAGAAGTGCTGTAAGCTGAATCCCACCTGTCTCAAAAAGTCAGTGACTTCTCTTAAAAAACTGCATTTTTTCAATGTAAACTCTAAAAATAGTTAAATCTAAATGTATTGTTAAGTGTAAAACACGTTGAAGATTAGCCGATAGGCTGTCGATTAATTAAATGATAAGCTGTTTCCTCTAAAAAGCTGTTAATTCAGCACAGTGAAGCCTCTCCTCCATTGACATCCATTCAAAAAAACGGCCTATGGTCTCCTTTCCCACGTACTGCCAAAGCGGAAGCGTTAGCATTAGCATTAGCCATTACGCTTTTTTGGCTAAAGGTTGCAGGCTTGCCTTCTAGTGGCTTTGGTAATAACTTATGATGAACCAAGAAAGCCCTAATATGGACAAAGACATCCAGCTATTGCTGTAGCTAAGCTGAATAAAAAGCAGAGACGTTTTGACTGATGAAATGTGTAGACCATAAACACACGCGACAATATATGGTTTATATGTGTTTTTGTAAGTCATCTCCAGGTAATAAATAAATAAAGTATATGAATAATGCAGTGCTAATTGGCATATAATTTATTACAGTAGCCTTTAGAAGCTATAACAAATATTTTCTGCTTTACTCTGTGATAAAAATGGCAAAAAAAAAAGGGTTTGTACTATATAAAATCAATCATAAAATTGTCATTAGGAAAATATAGGAAACACATTATAGAATACAAAGTATTGATTGATGGCCAACAGCAATTAAAAGTAAGAGATAAGGGGAAAAAATAATAGAACTTGTCAATTAGCCAAATAAAAAAAAATGTGAAAAAAAAAAAATCATTTCTGTCCCCCTAACTTCTGAAATCCCCTGAGTGGGAGGTTTTAGAGAATAATCAGCTTGGGGAAATCTCCGTGTCATTGACCAGTTTTTACTGAGCTTTGATAAATGATGATCCGAAAAATTCAAAAACAGTTAAAAGTTAACTATTAAAAAGAATAGCTGAACATAAGTTCACAAA